CCGTCTGGTGCACTGTTGTGGAACTCTTGAAACGGGCATCCTCCCGCTGCTCCCTCCTAATGGCAACCTCCCTGAGTTCCCGGAATTGAACTGTTGTTCCCCCCTCATATCTATCTTGGAGGGTATTCCTAAGATATCGGTCGCCGATTCCCTCGATAAACTGCTCTGCTAGGATGGCTTCTGGTTCCGAATATAGTCGGCCACTCCAGCTCGTGAGGCGGAGAAAACGGTTTTCAAGGTCCAACGCGAAATCTCTGACGCTTTCTCCTTTTTGCTGCTTCCTCTCCAGGAATAGTCGTTGGAGCTCCCCCACCGGGACATGGTCCGCATACGAGTCCTGAATGTACGAGAGGATATCTGCGATGCCTTTCCCCTCTCTAATTAGCGACTTCACCTCCATCTTCGGTCCATCTTTGAGATAATCTAGGATGAATGCCCCTTGTTGTTGGTCGGGAATGGCGTACTTGGTGAAAGCACTCCTCATGGAGTTGACAAAATCTGCAACCTCTCCTGGCCGGCCTCCAAATGTGGGCAGCTTTCTTTCAGGTGCCATAATAATCTGGGGTGGGGGGCGGGACAGCAACTTTTCCAACTGTTCTTGGACACTATCCCTGTTGTCCTCTTTAGGTTGGAGAAGTGGCCGGTAGACATGACCCCACTCCCCTATTGGATGGATCTTCCCCCCGATAGCAGGTACAACTACCTCCATCCCGTCTGTGTCTAAATACACCAGCCCCTTGGCCTTGGGGAAATTGGTTTGTAATGCTTCTAGGCTAAGGGGCCCATCAGTACCCATCAAAGGAAATTTTAATTTCCTTCCCTCCTCTTCAATCTTAACGTACAAAGCCATATCGGCGAGTATCAACAAAAAAATTAACAAGCTATGTTCCAATTGCATACAAGAACTTTCCTAATATATCTTAGTCTCAAAAACTTCGATTTAAATCATGAAATATATTCACTTAGAAATTAGTCCTTTAAACTATAACACCTTCCGAAGGATTTCAATATCAATAACCAAGGTACTATCAGATGTTCCAACCCGACTTCAAAAAAATAAATCTATTGAATCTAAACATTCTCAAAACTTGACCGACTCTCAAATTTCCAATAACATCAATATCAAGAATAATTAATTACCTTTCCACGAAAGTAATACTCTTCAACCAGATCTACTCACTTCAGTTAAAAACATTTTCCCCAATACCTACATGTAGCAATATCAATCTTTAATAAAAACAACTATCTTAAAAGTTAAAATACATTCTTAAAGTAAGTTCTCGAAGCAATGTTCTTTCACCACCTTGCCATGCACATCGTCGTCGCTCTATCACTCATTGCTAAATTATGTTCAATGTGTCCAGGCTAACTATTATTGTTCCACGACTATTATTCAATGAACAGCACTCCTTCTAAAACTATACGAGTTCTTGACGTACATATCTACTTGACTCTTTGCGAGGTCTTCCGGACATGGTCTTGTCACCCTCGTCGATGATGTCGCTGTTGCACACGCCGCCGTCCACTTGGGTTCGAATCCCATCCTCGTCGCCAGTTGTGAGGTGGTCGAGAACTCGAAATCAACGACAGACAGATCCTGTGAGAGGGCCAAGCAAAGAGTCTTTATTAGTAGTAACCAGTAACAGAGACATTACATATCACTAATACCGATAATCATGGAGATCATGCATTCCCCAAAACATGTCATGTTATCAAATATTAAACGAGTAAATTTGCCCTTTAAAAACCAATTGCCACAGTACAATGTAGCTGAAACTCTCAACATTAACACAGGTAAATACCTGACCCAAATACTTAAACAACTAGAAGTAACAGTCAATATAAACCTCATATAGAGCAACACATTCATATATTTATCTTCCATACTTTTCTTACTTCCAAACAAACTCCAATAATCTCCTGGTCTAACCCCAAACATTGCTCTTACTCCTATTATTCCATCTCAATTTAACATGTAACAATATTCTTTTATAGCAATCTGCAAAATAAGAAATAAGGTTTACAATGATAGAGGGCGCTAGAAACCCTCGAATGGCTACATAGTCAGACAAAGTTCGATCATCACTGTTTGAAGTGCCATAATTAATATCCCCTAGCTTAGCAACCAAAATACAAACAACATGCAATACTTTTAAACACTCAACTTCTATTATAAGCACTTCTTCTCTATGCTCCCTACCGTTCTTACTGACCTCATTCCTAAACTAAGACTTATACTCATCACATCAATTAGAGCGTACCCTGGTCCTGGTCCTGGCCCTGGGACCAGGCACAACATTAGCGCGCACGCACTACACCCAATTTTGGTACCGCGCGTTCAACTTATTAGTGTACATAGCCATGTACTACAATGTAAATGCATATAACAAATCAAAGCGCTAAGCATCACACAGTTTAACATTAAATCCTCGTTTCCAATATAATCATATCAACCCACATGATACATCAAAATAACTACTGAAATCGTTCTGACACAATACACATATGTACATAACAAATCTCTAGCATAACAATATTAATATTTACTAAACATAACAGTGGTTCAAGTTTGGTCAACTCACCTGTGAGAGGGCCAAGCAAAGAGTGCTGGCTTGTCTTAGCACTCCGCCCTCTACAGGTCACAGGGTAATTTCCTAACCCTTTACATTATGTACACAATATTTTGCGGCCTTACAGGGAAATCTAATTAATATAATAGATTTGTGTATGAGAAGGGTGATCTAGCATATGTAGTAAAAGCATGGCAAAATGTAATGTGAAGGGAGGGAGAGAATGATACAAACCTTGATAGTATATTGTTAACTATCCCGACACGGAATAACCATATGACATGACCATCCAGGTGCAAATATATAGCTAGGTTATAGATGCACCCGATAAAAAAGGTCTGACACTGAATGTGTGAACGATTACCAGACTCAATTGAACATTTTACATTGTGAAAAGTTGTATAGCCACTTTGGTCTGTCCTAGAAAATTATCTATCGATCTTCAAAACTTTAAAATAAAACTTTTTTTTCTCGAATTTTGAAAGAATGTTTGGTTGTCCCAAGGACTAACAAAATTCAATATATAGTGTACCAGCTACATACACTGCTGCAAATTTAAGAAAGAGAAACCTGGGGGGGGGTATAGTGAGCACAATTTTTTTTTCTCCCTAAAATTTGAAAGGGGGGGGGGTAGTGAGCACATTTTTATTTGTTTTGGTCCTCGAAAATTTAAGAATTTGCACCCCCCCCCCCCCAAAAAAAAGGGTAAAAATCACGTGTTTTAACACGTTTTTTTTTTCTCAAGGGGGAGGGCCCCGTCCCCCCCCCCCCCTGGATCCGCCACTGATAGATGCACCAAGCCAAAAGCGAATTAAGTAGACCAGTTTGCACGCGGCTAACAGTCCAATACAAATTAACTTCTAGGGACTATATTCTCCTGACACATCTATTAATGCCCTTATGACGCCCTATCCCTTTCAGGAATATAATTTGTCTCCCTAATCTTTAGTTCATCTTCGTGATATAGGCTGCCTTTGAAGCTGATTGCCAGGAAGAAGAAAAATAGAAGAACGCCTTTTAGAAACTGGAGTATGCAGACTTTTTATTTATTTATTATTTATTTGTATTAATACGTTTTTATACAGGTACAAAAGATCAGGAGTAAATCTGTTTTGCATCTTGGACCTGACTAATAGTCGTTTTTTTCCCAATTTAAGACATTTTCAAGCCCCCCCCCCCCCCCCAGTTTTTTTTTAAAGGGAAAGTTCTAAATTACTATTATCTTTGAAATGCCGTTGGAATTTAACCTTTTCATTTTTTTTTTGCCTGCAAATGGGGCATTGTACCTTTAAAAGCATCATTATAAAAAGCAGTAAAAATAACAAAGTATAACAAAGTAAAATACGCATACATCCATTATGTAACATTATAGTAATACAAAATATGGCAGCATAATAATTCAAGGCCTTAATGATTCTAAATACAGTGTTGGTCATAATATGGTCGAATAATTATTTTTACCCCAATTTATGGAATGATTTTGAAGATGATTTATTCCTAATATATATAGATAATAGTATACATTCTCAGATTTTATTAAATAATAATTTGTGAGTGTTTGTTTTACGTTACTGCTAAATCATGTGTGTACTACTATGCTAATAAACTAGGGTACCTACGTCCTTAAGTCATAACTGACAGTAATGAGGATTAATGCCTTATAAAAAGGCACTAATATAGCACATCGGCACGGTTTTGATCCTGGGGCTCACAGTAACGAGGCCATTGCTTTAATAGCCCCCACATATACAAAAAAAAAAAGAAGACTAATGCAATAAATTATCAATAATTCATTGCATTTTGCCCCGACCCCCAACATACAAAAATTCTCTATGTGGGCATGCCTTGAACCATAATACATGGCCCTACAGAGGATTTTTTCCTTTTTGGGAAAATGCAATGAATTATTGATAATTTATTGCATTTTCTTTTTTTAGGGGACCTACCCCTCAAGATCTAGTAGGAATAAATCATTGTCAAAATCAGTTCAAAAGTTGGGGCTAAACAAATTATTCCATCATTATGACCAACAGTGTATAAATGAAGGCTAATTATAACAATATCAACATAAATATAGTCATATAAAATTATGCAAATGTAAGGTTTCAGCTTAGAGGTTGAGGTAATTTCAATGGATTCGATTTTTTTTTTCTTTTTCTTTTGGTACAATAATTTGAACATTTCCAGAGACTGAGCATTTTGAAAGTTATTGGGTAATGGATTCCATACTTTTTAGCACCGGCATATTTTAAAGACTGATAATAAAGTTGAATGACTGACGTTGCAATGCAATGTTGAGTGTCGATGTCAAGAGAGAGAATAAAGAGAGGTACACGAATTCTCTAATTGGAATGTTGAAATCAGTGGGTGTTAATCATCAAGCCTTTTTAAAAAGTGTGAAAAGAAAATCCTTAATTTCTTTGAAGATACCGATTACATCTCAAGGTGTTATCGATCGCGCCCATTCGTCGCAAATCCAATCAACCACAAACTACATAATGACCAAACTGTGCTTTATTGGTAAGAAAAGAACAATTTATATCGCTTATTGTGATTCTTAATTAGTAGATAAAAATATTTCCCAAATTCAGTTAAATGATTTAGAGAATAGGTGTGTTTTGATAATGTTAATATTTATTTTCTCCCTTTTCATTATCCGCTTAATCCTGCGGTGCGTGTACATTTGTATTGTGTGGTCCCACATGCCGGGATTTGTGTTATACCAAATTTATCTTTTGAAAGCGTCTGTTCTTTCTTCTGTTGATCAATTTCTATTGAAATGAACGATAGTCCAGCAACAAATTCATGATAAAAATTCCATAAAAGTGTCCATTTCATGTTACATATAGGTGTAGGTCTAGAATCTAGAGCAATTTTAATAATGGGAGTTGTGAAAGAGTGGCTAGACCCTAGTCAAATTTTCCATGATCATTCATCAAAATTGTGTAGATTATTCTAGGCCTAGATCTAGCCTATTTAAAAAATGATATGATTATGACATGACCAAAGAGTAAAGTAATGAGTCATGAAAATGTTCATGCTTGTAATGTTGTGAACTTGCTTCAGTTTAGATCTAGACCTAGTTGTCTGCACTTCTTTACAGAATCTTAAGCGTGTCAGGTAAAGACTAAAGTTTTATTTCATTAAAATTTAACAGGCATTGTCATTAATTGATAAACTGATTTGCAGTTTGCAAAAGCAAAAAAGACTTTCTTTCATGCCTTTCACCTTCAGGCTTTTGCAGATGATTGTCTCTTTTGAGTTTCGGAGGGGGTGGGGGCGGATGTTTGTTTTTATGTTTGTTATCTGCTTTGTTTTGTTTATTTCAACTATTATTTTATACTCTGCAGTGAGTCTGCTCCTGTCTGTATATTTTCTTTTGCTGCAATGCCAATGCCAATATTTTTGATATCGGAAGATCTAACTTTATTTAAAAAATTATTTTCCTCCACATTATTTCTTTAAAATAAAAAGTAGAACAACTTTGTAACAAAAGGCTCTGACCAATTTTATTATTTCATTGGAATACAAAAACAAACAAAAATGACAATTTTCTCAGCCAAACAAAAGCTACTCTAGTCTTTAAAGGCACTATGCTCAATTATTGCACAGTACACACATTCATCTGGTCAGTACTTTTCCTGGTAATCAGGTTGGGGACTAGACAGAAATAATCGTCTGATATGGGGAATGCTTTAATGAAAATTACCATTTGTATACTTTGCCCAATACACCAATGTTACACACACAAAGGGGGGGGGGGGGAGGGGTTGAATTAGAAAAAGGGGAACATGGGGGACCAACAGGTACCGCTTAGGCATTGTTTGTTAGTTAGAGGGCACAAGTAGCTACAAGTAGTGCAGTCTAGCTTTAATACATGTACTGTACTTTCAGCTAATCTCTTTTTTTACCGGTACTTGAAGCTACTGTGCACGATAAGAAGGACAAGCACACACAAACTGCATTGCATATCCTCCCCCTCACTAACCTGTACAATGTACTTCAGCTAGACACAGTTTCTGTATAAGGGCAGTCAGTAGAGCTAGACGCCACAGTGGAACAACTGTCAGTATCAGCGACTGAAGCTTTCAGTCTAGTGAGAGACTTTTACTTTAAACACTGCTCAAACTCCTAATGTTTCCCATGTCATTGTAGTGATTGCAAAAAAACAGGAAGGGCGTTTACTTTCAAATAGTATTTTATCTCTTTGAAACTCCATGTGTACTATGTGTACCACGCTGTTTTGTGACAGGAAAGGAAAATGTCAAAAATGTAAGACCCAGTCCGCACTAGTTTGGCCAGGAGGGATTATACCTCCCTCCATGATCACTGACAGGTGGTTATCTCATCAAATCAGCTCTCACTTACCATAAGAAAACGGGGATCATGGGGGACCAACGGATATCACTTAGGCATTGTTTGCTATAAGAGGGCACAGGTAGCTACAAGTAGTGCAGTCCCGCTTTAAACACCAAGTCCAGTATTTCTTAAAGTCCTAGATGTGCTGACAACATGTACCGGTATGAATTTTATAATTTTTTAATTTTTTTCTTCAACATTTTAAATTCTTCTGCCCAGTTTTTCAAAGAGTAGATCTATGTTCTGCAAATCCTTGTTTTTTTTATTGTCACTACACTTGTTTTTTGATTTTTTAATGATTTCTGTATGAATTTATTCTAGCATATAGAGGAACAAGTTGCACACATTTCTAAGATATTTTTTTTTATCCTCTTTTTTCCCCGATGCAGTTTTCCAAATTGTTAGATGATGGTTTAGCAAAGCTCCATGTAGTGAACTATTCTCAGTGGGATGGAGCAGGAGGCCCCATCAAATCTTTTGGTAAGTAATTTTACGTTTGCATTTTTTAAATAAAAAATTAGTCTTTTTGCCTGGTAGTGACAGAAAGTACATTCTCACTGATTTGACACTAAAAACTATGGATGTACATAATTATCTGGAAACAAAATTGTGGTTGAAAATGTATGCATGTACGAGTTGATTATTGAGGAAAGAAAGATACAAATTTGTGCTAGAACTCAATGACACCTATATACCTTAAAACCGAATAGAACTATACCTTTATCTCGAAATTGATGAAATATAGCAAATTGTGAATCAACCGTAATTGACGCAAAGCTGCCAACCATTAATACTTTGGAGGTTTTAGCCCTCAAAACTAATGTTATGAACCAGAGATTCCTTTGTTGTTGTAGTTTTTTCTTCCACCTTCCTCCCACCCCCCCCCCCTTTTTTTTCCCTCTTTTTTTTCTTTCTTGTTTACATTCTGTTTACAAGTATGAATATACCAGATTGCTTTTTCTACATGTACCTCCAAAGATTCCTAATGTTAGCAGTGGAAAGTTAGCAGGTGTACATGTATGTAATGATGTTGCTCTTATTTAAATTACCTACATTGTCCATCTCCACCCCCCAGACGAGGCTGCTAGTCAACGAAGCAGCCGGTTTGTCGTTCACAGCTCTTGCCCTCAAGCTTCAACTCTCTCACAATGGTCGCCTGGTGGCGGTCTTCGGCATCGACGGCCAACAGACCCTCAAGGTCATCCATGACAAGCCCTACCTGTGCACGCTCTGCGGGGCTTGCTTCACACACACCACACAACTCAGATGCCACGCTCAGGCCAAGCATAACTACATGGAGAATATGTCTTCAGGAGGTAAATTGTCTAGTTACCAAATATATTCTGCTTTTATATAATAATAATAATGGTGGCTTCTTATATGGCGCATATGTCCGTCACATTGTGACGCTCCTGGTGCTGGCCCGATTATTACCCTGGCTTTAGCAAGGCAGCCATGTAGCGCTTAAAGGCATCGTTTAACAATGTTAAATCTGAGATGCAGGGCCCTACGTGTTATCAGTCAGTGTCTGTGATATGGCGTAATATTGAAGCCCTAAAAAAAATCGCGCTTCAAAATAATCAAGAAGTGCCTCAAAAAAATGAAAAATCTTTGAGTAACCAATTTTACCATACTCATTATCCCCAATAGACTGTAGTGTTATGAAAACCGTTAGAACAAACGCAAATTGTTGTTTTGATTTCCAATCATAAATATATTGATAATCAGACAGGCGATCGGCTTGTAAAAGTCATGGGGTTCCTGACTGACCTAAAGATTTATAATTATCATTGCAGCATGAGCTAAATCCAGGATTTTGTTTCAGAATCTGAGACAAAGTTACCGGATCTCATTCTCTTTAATACAAATGTCTCTAAGCGCTTTACAGATATACTATTACCCGGTCATTAGATTCAATAATTGCCCGCACACCCTGTGTGCACAAACTCCACTCCCTGGGGAGCATTCCAGCCAGGCGTTACTTGTCGCTCAAAAACTGTTTGACCAACAATGACATTCGCATCCTACCGGTTACCCATTTAACACCTGGGTGGAGAGTAGCAAGTGCAGGTTAATGTCTTGCCAAAGGATATTAGTGCCGTGCTGGGATTCGAACCCTCGACCTTCGCATCTCCAGAACCAGGGATGGAATTTGGGTCCTTGTCTCATGAAACCATTAGAAGTTCACTGACACTGACTCAAATGAGTTTTTTTGTGTTTTAGTTGAATTTCAGTGGACTTGTACTTATGATGGGTTTGTGAAATGATGTCCTAGGCAGTATATTGTCTTTTATGTTAGGGAAACTATTTAGTTTATCAAAATATATCAGAATTAGGACAAGCCATTGGTTTGGCTATTGTCTGTGCCAAGCTAGCTGCATTCTTGAATAGTTACTAGAGAGATCTACCAATAAAAAGTATCTACTCAATACAATTTCAGTTTGGAATGACGATTAAACATGGTATCATTCATATTTTAATCCAGACAAAATTTAATTTTTAACCCCTGAAATTTCATACTTGAACAAGGGTCCTCTTCACACACACACCTTGAAAATTCAGATCTTGCTACCCCTGTGACCTTACTGTGAATACACACTGTGGAGCCATTACCAATATAAATATTCATTACTACTGCTTCAAGTAGATATAAGTAATTTAGTCTTAGTCATGTTTTATTTACAAAACTTTGTAAAATCAGTGGGAATTTTCCATCAATACAACTACATGGAAATTTGCCATGTAAGAAATACATTCTTTCAAAGAAATTTGGGGTAAGTTTTAAAAATTCCATCTCTTTCTTTATTTAAATATTTTTTTATTTCTATATTTGAAACATATTTCAGTGGGAAATATGTCATTGATACGACTTTGAAAGACATTTTTAAAGTAATGTAACTTTTTAAAACAATGTTGTGTTCTATGAGTTTTCATGTTCTTGTTTTTTATGTTCTTAATGCAGGTGGAAGCCATGTTCTAGAGAGAGACCTTGACATAAGCAATCCGGGTCCTGCTTCAACCGTTGGAACAAGACGAATCTCAACAGAACCAAAATACTCTGACACCTACGACACCAAGTTAAACTCTGAAAGTAGTGAACTCCTCAAGAGCGCGTTGACCGGGGGTGATTCGTTACCGTCGTTTCCTGAGATCGAGTTGAAGAAGGTGAAGAAGGAGTCCGCAGCGTTGAGTGATGGAGAAGTGGAAACAGACAGGGAGGGTACCACGGGAGACCTCCCGGAGTGTACCCACTGCTCCAAGAGCTTTGCTGGCCATAAGAACCTGGAGGTCCATGACATCAAGCATTGCGGCAAAGAGATGCACAAGTGTTCTGCATGTAAAATGGCGTATCTACCCAGCGCAAAAGGACCAAGCACCGGCGAGGATCAGCCAGAGGAACCTGTGAATCAGCAGTACCTGATGAACTCGGAGGGTTCCAACTTCACTCATAATAACGATGAAGGGGAAGGTGCCAAGGTAGATGTTGAGCTTGAGGATGGACTGGGCATTGACTGTGTCCTTTGCGGAGAGACCTTTGGCATCCTACAACACATCATCACGCATATCCATGCATATACCTCATTCCCGTGCACGTTTTGCGACAGCGAGTTCCCGTCCATGCGAGAGCTCGGCTGGCACTGCAAGCAGAAGCATGACCTTCTGTTGGTCCGGTGTCCATTCTGCTCGCGTGGCTTCAGAGAATATTCCCATCTGGCGTTCCACATGCGGGAGCACAAGGGCCACCTGTTCTGCAAGATATGCAAGGTGCAGTGTCTTTCACGAACCAGCTACACCATGCACATGGAGATTCATGAGATCAATACAGAGTTGGATCTGACGGATGATGATGGAGAAGAAGACAGTGACGAGATGAGCGAAGGCAGTTCACAGAAGGAGAAAGAGAAGCATACTTGTCACATCTGCTCCAAGCCTTTCAATTCCTTTTATTCCATCTTCCACCATATGAGAAGAGAACACCCAATGGAATCTCTTCCCTCCTACAACCAGGATCTCGTCAAACGCCGATTCGTCTGCAAGAAGTGCGGCTTTGCCTTCCGCCGGAAAGACACCCTAGAGCGGCATGAGCTGATCCACAAGAGAGGGGACTACCCTCGACGAAGGCCTCCTTCGAAACCCATCATCAAGCCAAGACCTGGCAACATCCTCTGCACGATATGTAATCGAGCATTCATGAGGCCTACAAACCTTGATGCTCATATGGAGGAGGCGCATCCAGAGGAGTGTGACGAGGCTGTCAAAGAGAAGAAGAAATACTGCTGTGACCTATGTGGTAAATTACTGATGAGCCAGAAGAGTCTGGACCGCCATATCCTGGTGCATCAAGAGCCAAAGTTCACCTGTCCTATCTGTGACAAGAAGCTGAAGCACGCCGAAACCCTGAAGACTCACATGCGGACGCACACTGGTGAAAAGCCTTACAACTGTGACATTTGCAAGCACTCATTCGCACAACGCTCTTCTTACGTCCAGCACATGTGTATTCATTCCGGAGAGCGCCCTCACGAGTGCGATGTCTGCAACAAGAAGTTTATCCGGAGGACAGAGCTCAGGCTGCATCAGGCAAAGCACTCCAATGTCCGGATGTTTCCCTGCAACTCCTGCAGCAAGACGTTCAAGACGGAAAAACATCGAAAGGTTCACGAGACGCAGTTGCATTCCGAAAAAGCGCAGTCTTACATGTGCGAGAAGTGCGGGAAATCGTTCACATGGGCGGCAGGTCTGAAGACTCATGCCTGCAGTCATATTGGTGATGCTCCTTACAAGTGCCAGGAATGCGACAAGACGTTTTCCCAACCTCTCTTCTTGAAGAGGCACATGCATATTCACACAAAGCCATTCAAGTGTGAACAGTGCTTTGAAGGATTCAAGAACAAGACGGATCTTAAGAACCATACTGCCCAGATGCACGGGCCAGGCACTACTACAAGCAACCAGACACAGAGTATGGTACCAACTCAAGTCCAGGAGCTGATTTCAGATCATAGCTGGAAACCTAATAAGATGATGATGGATATGCCTGTGGACCCAAACAGTCCCCTCTCAAATCCAATGTCTGTTCCTGGCCCCAGTCAACACACAGTTCCAAGCCAAATTCAACAGCCCACCCTCCAACAAGGCCAGTCGTCCCATTCACCTCAAGTACAGTCGTCCCATTCGCCTCAAGTCCAGGTCTCGATGCCTACCCCGGTCCAAGGAGCCATCTCACACCATTCCCATGTGCCGACACAAGGTCAGATACAAGGCCAAATGTCAGGTCAACTGCCAGGTCAAATTCCAGGTCAAATGCCAGGTCAAATGTCATCATCCCTTACAAACCACACAACTGGTCAAGGTCATGTCCGGATGTCCTACACCAATCGGGCTCCAATGCCTCTGCAAAATCAAGCCACAATGTCACTTCCAAATCAAGCTACAGCATCTCACCCGAACCAAGCCTCATTATCTCACTCCAACCAAATCCCAATGTCCCTTCCAAATCATATCTCAATGTCTCGTTCAAACCAAGTCGGGCCAATGTCTCTTTCTAACCAAACCCACATGCACCGGATGTCGCATTCAGTGTCGGTACCTAATCAGATGCAGCAGGCGCTCGCCAATCATATGCCTCCGTCCCACCCGAGTCAGGCCCTGTCATCGATTCAACATCGAACCCAGGTCCCGAACCACCAAGCACCAATGTCTCTTCCGCATCAAGGCCAGGCTTCTCTTCCAGGGCAGGTCCAAGCCCCAATGTCTGGTCCAGGTCCTGGTTCAGTCCTTCGTCAGCCCCATCATCACTATCTCCCGAATCCAATGATGCAAGACAGGAACATGTATGCAGAGCAGCAGTACCAAGTCCAGGACTCCACAAACCAGGCTATCGCAGCTATGCTTACTCATATGTCTTCACTCTAACGCATAATAGCAGTTGTTGACATTGTCGTTGCTCCACCCAGAATGTTTTGAACAGTAAGTATAATAAAAGTTAAAATTAGGTAGAAGAATTGGCAACTTTTACACAGTCCATTTTGCTGTTGTCATCATCTTACATCAAAACTGTATTCATTTTATCCCCCTCCTCTAAACCCAATTGGAAACTATTTTTATTTGGTTTAACATGCACTTTTCATAACATGTCCACAAGCTATTTCAGGCCCTGTATTAAAAATAGTTTAGTTCAGTGGTCCTGAATGTAAAATGAAATTTTTCAAACATTACCAATTTTAAATGTCATGTATCGTACAAGTACGTATGTCACATAGTGTTGTATGTGTAACATATATGATTACCAACGAACAACTCAAGACTAAAATGGAAAAAGATTTATGGTTTGTAAATTTCTGTATTTTTTGTTTTAGCTCATATAACATTTATTTATTAATTTGTTTTTTGTTTTTATGATACATGTACATGAACTTGTATTACATGTATATATTTCAATCCAAGTGTTATCACACGTGTGATACTGGTATTCAAGTCTGAAGACTGTTCGCCTTGCATGATTTATGTTTATTATTTTGGTATCTTGTTCTATTTTGCATACCTTTGAAAAAGGTTTGCTTTATAAACGAACCTTTAAAAGGGTTCTACAAATTTAGACCTGCTAATGTGGTCTTGATGATGAATATGACCAAACCGTCAATCATGACAGAAAAGTGAACATTCAATGATTTTGACCAAAACATATTTTGTTAGAGGTCTCTAACCTGATTTCTTGACCAATTTGTTGCACTAGTATCAAAAATCAACTTTTGAGATTGGACATTTTAAATTTCAATGCTTTGTTTAATTGATCAAATGTGCATAGATTATCTTCCAATGATATAAAATTCATAATAGAAGTAATCATAACTGTTTCTTGGAAAATAATGTTGACCTTCTTTGTTCAAACACCTTGTTTGACTTTGACTTTAATTCTTGGGCAGGAATTGCTGTCCAAGGCAAGGAAAGGGTTAGTAATTTTAATACAAATTGTTAGGGTGTGGTATGTTCTAACGACAGAAACCAGGCCAGTAGGGGGTTATCCCCAAAATGATTGCTAAGATGAAGCATATACCACACCCAGATAGTCCTTTGCTTGCTGTACAGTCGCAGAAGTATAAAACCAAATTCTTCTTTTTGTACGGTAATTTCTTCAGCTTGCACCCAGTAAATAAAGATGGCATGCCAGATCTTCTAGGAAGCCTAACACATTCAAAGCTAGTCGGTTGACTGATGAATGTTAATAAGTTAGAATTAGGCGAGCTGAGGTCTATTTCATCATGACTGTGCCATGGACCAGTGATGGCCTGGAGGTAGAGTCGATGCGCGGCAAGCAGGAGATGGCAGGTTCAAATCCCTCTAGTTTCAAGATTTTTCTGACTTGTTTTTAATGACAAGATCAAGCTCACAATCTTTATTTACGTGATGCAAGCCAAATTTCTGTACAAATTGAAATTACTCCCAGGAAGCATAAGATTCAAAGCTTGCAAATATTTATTTTACTTTATAGTGGATTCTCATTACATGTAGGCCTACAAAAATATTCAGTTTCCTGTAAATTATTTATCAGTTTGCCTTTGGACGTTAAGAAAATAGTATAACACTCTTTGATATTTCAAGTCAACTCAAACAACTTAATATGCTAGTCTTTGTTGACCATCCATTATTTCCAATATTGATTTGATGTGTGGCTGGTGTTAGTTTGGGTGAATATCGGCATCCCGAAGCAAATTTCTTGTAATAAGTTTGGTTGCTCTCTGGTAAATGTTATACTAACCCTTTTTGAAACATGGCAGGGATTTATTTATTGCCTAATGAAAAAGTGAAAATGTATGGTAACTACCTAATTGGAGTAGATTTGTGTCAAACAAGTACATATTTCTGAAGCTGCAGTCATTTGAATCAAACAACTTTCTGCTTACCGGTATCTCAATAGTGTGTCCATGTTTGGCGTAAGAGCCCAGTGCACTTATTCCCTATTAGCGAGCCGCCTGGTAAATGGTAAATTAACTTCCATGACTAATTTCTACAAAAAGGGATATATGGAATGTGATATTTTTTTTAATATCAACAACTTAAATCAATCTTGTTTTCAATTTTTACTTTATAAAGTAAAAAACTGCCAACTTTGTATTCTTTCTTTCTTGGTATTCTAATTTGCATTTCATAAATGCAAATTTAGTTTTAGGAGAATTTTCCACAAGACAGCTGTATTCCTTGATTATCACACTGTCCAATGCACTATTAATATTTTGCATCATAGCTCAGAATCTGTTTAAAAAGTACCTTTGTGCTTTTCTCTCAATGTCTGCCATCGCTTCCAGAAGAACTGATTACCTTGTTAGGATCTTGACCGGCAGGAATTTGTTTACCCTTGCTCTAATTTGAGTGAAATATGCCATTTGGCATCGCAGGGTACGAGTGATGAAGACCAATGCTATTTTACACACTGAAGGAATGCATTAAATGTGTGTGTTTAATTGGTTTTTACAGACGTGTATAATCAGGTATGATGATTAACATCTGGAGACCGACCTTTAACGTCACCATCTAAAAGACGTGACTCAGTTTTCGAACAGGGTTGCCTGAGCCAGTTTGTTGGCGTAGACAGAGAGCTGACTAACTCACATCTCCCTTGCCGATTACAGGGTGGTCTACAAAAAGGACAGAATTTCTTACTAGGGTCCAGGGTTCGCTGAAGGGCTCAAGGATTCTCCACATGCCTTCTGAACCACATTGCGAAGCATTTCAAACAAACTTCATTGACTAATATTCAATAAGTTATTTTGGTTGAGAATGAGTCGAGTTAACCTGTCGATAATTTTCAAACCTGCAGAATCAAAATTCAAACCGGTCGCTGTTCCATGTTCATACCCTTTATGGACAGACAACCCTGCCGATTCATCACTTTGTCATGGAGAATTTGCCCATGATATTTTTTCATCTGAAATCCTCCACGCTTTATATTATGCACTTTGAGAACCAATATGGTTGTTGACCAGTATGGCTGACATGTTTGAGGAAACATACCGTTATAGTATTTTATTTATGGAAAGCAATCCCTAAATTGCTTTTTTCTTGTCTCCCTGTCTTGCAGGGAATACAAATGGTCAATGTATTGTGGCTGAAGATGTAGAGGAGTTTTAACCTTGTATAGTGTTACTTTAAAACTCTTCTTCAAACAAATCAAATTTTATTATAATGATTTAATTAGCATGAAATGTTTTAAATGCTTTGATTTGATTTGAGGTTTAGCGATGCTGTATTTTATATGTAATCTGTCAAGGCTCAGAAGTGTATGAACTTGTTCTATAAATATTCCAGCCATCGCCCCTTCTGATTCTCTGCAAACTGTATGAAATATAATATATGTTACCATGCTTGTACTTAAACTATTTAGAGTAATTTCAACCTCAATCAATGGACCGGTTTACAAACGTGTATATTCAAATTTATGGATGTTTCTTTCCTGGGGACCTGGTGTTATTCCATTAACCCTTACTGTACTGGGCTATTTTGAGCACCTCCTGACTGGGGGGGGGGGGGCCTGGGCCCCCCCCCCCTATGATCTCGGCCGTTGGATGTCCGATGAACACAAAAATTTGCATGTTTGTAGATATTTGCGTAACGAACAAGATGGTGTAATTAGTTTTTTTCGAATATGCAAATTTTTGTCGTTATAGCCTAATTAATTATGCAAAATGCTAATTTTATGCATTTTACAGAAAATGTGTCAAACTCCACTTTTTGAATGTTGAAACTCAGTATTCATATGAAACTTCTTTTCTAACACAAAATATTTATTTTGATGTAATTAATAATGATAATTTATGCAAATTTGATGCGATTTTCAAATATTTATTTTCTTATGTATTTTATTGTTTTTTTATTTCTTATTATATCTATTGTTTTTATTTCTTATGTATTCTTTTGTTCTGGAATACATCAAGTTACTTTGAGAAACATATAAAAGCAATTCGATATCAATTCATATCACCCACTTAGGAAGGAATACATCTAAACCTGTATTCACATTTCTGCTTGTACATGAATATATGCAATTATAGCATATTTTTGATGACATGCGCATACTAATTGTTATGTAACACCTCACAGGTATATCCGATTGCGACGAAAATGGTATCAAAACGTGCGTAAGACTTGAGGGAAAAAAGTCATGAAACGACAATTCAAAATTTCAAGCGGTTGCGGCGCAATCTCCGAAAATGTCGAGGGGGGGGCCTCCCAGGCCCCCCCCCCCCCCCCAGTACAGTAAGGGTTAACCTGTTATTAACAGGAATGCCAATTTCAGGCAAAAGTCTGAATTTAGACCATAGTTTAGGCTTTTTGTGTTAAAAATAGCTTATTCTAGCTGATTTTCAGGCCCTCTGATCACTTCTAACTGGCATCCCTGTATTAATGAATGAACTACACTACTTGGAATCCAGTCTGCATATATTACTTGTTGCTATGTCAGGCAACTTTCAGGTCGTTAAGAACAACCGTTGTTTTAAACGTCTGCATACATTTTGAATATGTTAATAAACCGGTTTATTGAGTGAAAGCGACCAAATTTAATACAGCATTCCAACGAAATAGATGCAGCAAGCAGATGAATGTGTATACATTATTCTAAGTGCAAATATAGCAAACAAAGCCATTTTTTTAATACCAGTGAACCAAATAATCTATTAGAAGAATGAATTTTGGAAAAGGCTGAAACACACTAATAAAAATAATAATAATAATAAGAATATTTAATTTTTATATAGCGCTTAATACAAATGTCTCTAAGCGCTCATACCATAATCATCTTGTCCAGTGAATAATCATGTACTAAAATAATTTATACATTTATTATTATCGCTTTTATAGTGCTCTTGTTTATGAAAGTTTAAGAATTTGTTTACCCTTTCGGGACTTTGATTTTTTTTACCCATTGCAGTTCAGAAATGATTGAGCGTTTTCATCCACAAAATTACACCTGTTATTCTTATCAATCTCTCTTACAAAGTTAGGGATAAATTAAAATGGTTATTAACTGAACTAACGTGAAAGAAAATTCCACAACAATATGCTAATGTGTACAAATACATAGTGACTATATATTCAAATCCACATCATCACCAATTTTAGGGCTGAAGCTTATTTTCAATTATATTGTTCTCTTTCATGAACAAATAATGTACTGCAATAGAAATGGATTCCTTTTATTCTGCAATTTTTACTGGGTCTGCAGATGCAAAATCCACATTTTGGATAAAGAGATGCAAAAAACCCACAACTGAATGACAATACTTAATTGCTATGGTGTTTTTTTTAAATCTTTAATTGCAGGTGTTTTTTTTAATATTGTGCCACAAAGATTGACAGATTTGTTGGTAATCCTTAAATATGTCAGTACTAGTGTGTTTTCTGATAACGTTACTTGCCCACTGGATCAACTTTTAAATTGTATAGATTTACCTAAATGCGTGCATCGAGACTTGTATTTTTTTTAAACATCGTTTGAAATCATCATGGCCAAATGTTTTTATTCAAACGATGAAATTGATTCCATAATCAGTGTCTGTGGGGTGACAAAACCTTGTATCTCAATTTTTTGAGATTTTGATTTCTTTGCATAATTTTGTACCTAATGGTCTACGACACCACCTGATAAATCCATGGAACGCCTCCTGTCTCGGTTTTTTCACAAATTCCAAACAAAGGACGGTGTCACAGCACTAAATCTGTTGAGACAGGAAAGGTTTTTGCGCTCTCCTGAAAATTCATGATTTTTGAGATACGAGGTTTTGTCACCCCACCCCGACGGTATGTATATTTTATTGTGAATAATCGCCTCACTATGTAAATAACAAGGAGTTGTAAATGTCAAATCAAGAGAGAACTGAGCAGATTGTATTCATGAAATTATTCATCATACTTTAGTTCATAGCGCCAATGTAGTTTCATAGCAATAATGAATATTTGTGATATTTGTTGCTTTGTATGTTTAGTGTAGTGATGAATGTCTGATTTATAAACAATCATGTTTTAGTCCATGTAATTATTGTATATTCCATTTTTTGACCAGCCGTTGATGATGTCCATATTTCAGGTATGACTATAAGTCATGTAAATTTCTTTTGTATTCTGTAAATAATGTTACGGCTGATGTACTTTTTCACTAAAAGTAGAACAATGTATTAATGTGTATGTACAAGTATTTGTAGTAGATTTCTAGGGCTGAAACTGTAATGTTATAATAAACTCAACCAGATGCCATAGAATCGAAGTCGTAATTTGATGTTTTATTTATGTTTACCAAACCCTCTCCAGGAAAGTTAAAAATACATGTACAATGGAACCTTGTTGTACATGTCGAGGGTTCAGTGACACAAAGACGTAACTCCATATTTTGCCAAAATGAGTATTGATATCAAAATGATCAGAAAAATGTGGGCCTTTCCAGGAAACACAAAGACTTAACTCCACCCAACACCCCATGGAAGTCAATGGCTAGTGAAACATAGATTTAAGGCCCAAGTGAACTACTTTTTCTCAAAATGGCAAAAATGGAGTAAATTAAGTCTTTGTGTCACTGACCCCTCGATAAAACAAACTCTTTAGGATTACCGGTATGAAAAAATAAAATGCCTAGTTTAAGGATGACATTTTCAGGCCACAGCCTGATTTCATGCCCCAACATCTCCCAATTTTCAGGCTCCATTGGTATAGCTATCCATGATATTTTGAGTAGTGCCTCAAGGGAGAAGGCACTTGGGAGAAAAACAGAAATTAACGAAATTTGTTAACAACAAATGGGAGAGTTGCTGACCAAAATTGCCTATTTGAGATTCGCATACAGTGAACTTGTATTCCAAACATTCATAACTCCCTTTATTATTGGCCCAATTTACTTCAAACTTTTGCCATTCTCTTTCTCTTATTTTTCGGCTTTCATATTAATGGTTATCATAATGGTCGGATTGCATTTCAGGTCAAGGTGTAGACCCTGACTAATATTTTAGTCTAGGGATACACGATGGGCCCAATGTTGACCTATCGATTATATAGAAAAGCACCATAAATTCTGACTGAATAAATTAACAACATCATTAATACAATAGAAAGTCATTTTCATATCATGACCTTGTGTTGTAGGATATAATACAAAGGTCAACAATTTGCTCTCGGTAAATAATTAGACTATATATATATATGTATCAAAACCAGGTTGGTCTGATGAGCCAAGGAGTTTTTTTCTCACTCGGATTCCTCGACATCAAGGGAATAAACACATAATATAAATCACAATTTTTCTCTTTCATGTTTATCTTTCTCTCTCTCTCACTTCCATCCTCTTACCTTCCATCATCTTTCATATCTACTTCTTACATTTGTTAAAAAATGCCTCACCCCACCCCCCCCCCCCTTAATATTTCCTCGTTGCTTTTCTCATCCTTGGAGGCGTTTCACAAAACTTGTCATCAGTGACAAATGACAGCTTTTGTTATAAGCTACTGAAATCCTTGCTTCTGATTGGTTATTCGCCAGATTTGTCACTGATTTTTGTCATTTGTCATTGAAAAAAAAGGCTTTGTGAAATGCCCCCTGTTGTTTCTCCACTCATTCATCACATCCAGGTTCCTCAAACTCTTTCAATCACTCTCCTTTCCTTCTCGTCTTCCTAAAATATCTGCCGCCCTTTTCTCTCATCTTTCACACCTCCTGACCCTGTAGTTTCATCTCTCTCTTCCAGTTTCCTTCTTCTCTTTTTCACCTTCCTTTCTCGAATCTATCCGACACCTCTTGCTTCGCTATTCCCTCTCTCTCTCTTTCAGACCAAAGGTTTAGTGAAAATTGAGAAAAAATACAAATGTAATTTGAATCAATGAAATTTTGAAAAGACGGTGCAATTATGTATAATCTTCCATTCAAAAGTCAGTCAAGAAAATGTCATTTTAATAAATAAAATTTTGAAAAACAAAATTATATACAATGTATTTGCATGCACAAATCAGTCAAGGAAATGTCTTACTACTAATGAAGAGAAGAAAAAAAAACAGTATTAGGACTACTCACCAGATTATATTAAAGGTTCTCAGCATTCCAATCAACCAAAACTCCCAGATTTTATCCTGATGGAGTTGAAAAATACACGTACAGTGAAACCTGTCTATAAAGACTACCCTAGGGAGACAAGAAAAGTGGTCTTTATAGGCAGGTGGTCTATATGTACAGGTTCCTTTAGTACATGTTTCAATGAGAAAACCTTTTCAAGGGAAACAAAAAATGTGGTCTTTGTATAGACGGGTAGTATTTCTTTACAGGTGGTCACTATAAAGCAGGTTGGACAGAACATTCAACCCATTTAAGGTGTGCAATATCCTCATACCCAATCATCCAATGAATACACTGTTTCAACACAAGATGAAATAAAAGAGTCTTAATTAACTACCATATGAATTCTATTGGGGCTTATGGAATCCCCCCCCCCCCCCCTACTCAGTGTTATTTAGGGTACGCATATGCTTGTTCCCTCTTTTTGAAAACACCCCCTATCTGAGGACTGCCAGCATTTCTGGACCCCCCTTTCGCAGGCTTTTCCTGCCTTGGAGACCCCCCTAAATCCGGAACACTGCTCAATGAACCCCCCTATCTCAGGACATGCAGACCAACCCCCCCCCCCCCCTTATCTCAGATAAGCTGTCATTACTGGTTGGCTCACACCCAGGGAATACCCCCAAAGAACTCGGCCTGCATTACGTACAGACATTTAGCACATGAAATACATACAAAATTTCTGTGCTCGTGTTTTCATTCATACCTTGTAAGAATAAACAAAGTCTGCAAATTAGTTCTATGCTCACTTATCTGCATATCACCACCGAATAATTACTTTAGTGCCTGATATTGAGACTTAGTTAGAAATAAACCTTTCATTATTCTTAACTGACATCACTTTTGCCTGCATGATGTGTCCTTTCACATACTAATGCTGGGAAGCCTGTATAATACAAGGATCATAAATAGCATCAATAAAAACACTTGTTTTGAAGGTGGACCTGAAGGATATATATATATATATTAATTTGTTTTAAGAGATGTTTTAAATACAGAAGCAAGATATCTGTATATGGATTGTAACACCCTATCTGAATTCTCTCAAATCACTCCTCTAGCTATGAATTATGGCAACTACCATGGCTCAACAGCCAATCAAAATCAAGGTTTTTATGGAAGTTACCATTGATGGAAAAGTTACCAACAATGGTAAGTTTTGTGCACTACACTGTATGTTTTTAGAACAATGTAGAATTGCTTAAAAATTTACCTGATAATCATTGTTAATTATCCCTTTCTATTGGAATAAATTTTCGCAGAACTTTCAGATATGTTTATTCTTACATTCTCATATGAATTAACAAACAGTTGAACAACTTTAAAGCATTTTATAACTACCAGAAAAGGTATTCCAACTTGTTATTCAACATCTTCAAGACCGTGTCAAAATGTTGAATACCTGGAAGGCTGCAAGCTGAATCAAGAAGTTAAGATACTCTAGTATGATTTTCCAAGGAGCTACATATGTACCCCAGGGGGGTGTTTCACAAAGATCCTAAGTTGAACTTATCTCTAAGTTGGACTTAAAAATTATGGAAAGCCGTTAGCATCTATGAAAGTATTTTGTAAAATTTATTTTAAAAGGCATAGAATGATGATTCAAATCATTCATATTTTCTATTATCAAGGAGATTTTATGTTCTTGGTGTGGAATTAATAAACAGTTTAAAATACTTGAATTTTCGCTTTTAAATATATTTTATTTTAAGGCTACAAATGGTTCTCCATAATTTTTAAGTCCAACTTAGAGTTAAGTTCGACTTAAGATCTTTGTGAAACACCCCCCAGATGAAGCAGCACTATAATCCAAATATACAGTTGGATTTTCAAATATTTCTTTAAATGATTTGAATGGAAACATCTTCTTCTAATATGGGCTGCGTAACAACGAGATCTTCATTGGGTTCAGTGACCCCCTGCAGCTGTAAGCTGGAAGAGGCAGGGGTGAAAATTTGTGTACGAAACCTCTGGACAGGTTCAAAGATGCCATGCACTCTGGACAGGTGACGTCGTCTCCCTCCCTTCTGGGCGAAACCCTCGCTACAGTGTTCGCAACGGAACGGTTTGGTGTGTGTCCGCTGGTGCGATTTCAGCGAGAACCTGTCAACAAAGGATGACTCACAATCATTGCAGTTGAACGGCCGGAGGCTGCTGTGGATGTTCCGATGGGTCTTGAGTCCCGTGGCAGTGGCGTAACCTTTGCCACACACATCACACTTGTGCTCGCAGTCCCCGGTGTGCACGCCCCGCTCATGCTGAATCCTTTTTCTGCTCTCCAAGAATCCCTTCCCGCAGTAACGACACTTGTAAGGAAGCACACCTAGATGACGTATTCTGTGGCTTTTTAAGGACGGGTAGCTTTTCAACCGCTTCCCACAGAGCTCACAGATGTATTCACGATCCTTCTGGTGGATCTGGGCATGCATCCTCAAGTTCTTGTCGCATCGAAATGTCTTTAAACAGCCAGGAAAAGGACAGGCTACGATGATATTCTCTGAAGTATGACTCTGCATGTGCGTTTTCAAGGAAGTGCTATTGCTGTAAAATTTGCCACACTTTTCACAAATGAGCTGAGGGGTTTTCTTCAATGGCATCACAGCGGCCTGGTCCTGATGCCACTGGACCATATGTTTATGGAAAGAATTCTTTCTGACAAATTCTACTCTGCATATAGGACAGGTGATTGGCTTTTTCCCTCGAACTCTAAATCTTTTCTCACTGGGTGTTAGAACTTCGGAACCAGGGCAGTAATTGGCTTTATGGAGATCCAAATTGTTCAAAGTCATAAAACTCTTGCCACAGGTATTACACTTGAAAAGACCAAGATGGCCTTCCAAGTGATAGTGTAGTTTCCCAGCAGTGTGGAAGGCTTGATTACATTGGGCGCAACGGAAAACTCCTCGGGTCCTGTGTTTCTGCATGCTATGTGATATCAATGCTGTCAGCGTTGGGACCACTGCATTGCAGTCTTTGCAAGTGATTGAACGATGTGCGTGATGATAATGGTTCATGGCATGAGCACGAAAGAAGAACTTCTCACCACATTCGTAGCAGCTAGATACAAAGGGAGGATAAGCCTTCACTCGCCTAGATTTAGGAGTTACTTTGTTCTGTTGTCTCTTGCTATCTCCTTGGGAGGCATCTCTGTCCTCTGTGTCATTACATTTATCATCGGCGGCCGCAGTAGCTTTGAACATTGCTGCATCGCCGCCTCCATCACCCTCAACTGATCGTCGATCGCAACTGGTTGTTTCTGTCCAACTCCAACTACCGTCTTTACTGAAACTGATTCGATCCCACCCTGATCCTTGATCGTCATCCTCTATCTCTTGAAGCTTGGCGGAGAGGGCTTCCAATTCCTCGCATCTGTCATTGTCCCACAGTCCTATGGCCCCTCGGCACAAACGGCACTTCACTCCGTCCACCCCGCCGCAATGGCTGTCAAGATGTGCCTTCAGTGTATCCTTGTCAAAGGAGAAAGACGTGCAGTGAGTGCATTTATGCAGTACTTCATGCTGTACAGTTCCTGTTCTGGTCTGATCCGTCTGGAGGCTATCTCCAGCTCCCTGAGGCTGACCTTGATGTTTGGGCATATAAAATGAAGCCTCAACAGCATTCCGAAACAGCTTATGTTCCTGTGCAGAGTGGACGTAACGCTGTGCTGTGCTGTCGCATTTGAAGCCACATATAGAGCACTTTGGCCTGTATTTCCGCCTCTTTCTCTTTTCCTTTCCCTTCTCCTCCTCTTCCGTCATTGCATCCTCCTCATCAGACGGTAAGGACCCTCCTGAAGGCGATCCGTCTACAGCAGACACATTCTTCCTGCTTGAACTCTGCTTTTCCACTTCGTCATCTACCTCCTTCTTTCTGTTCATAGCCTGTAATAAGAGAGATGCTGCACCTACATGTAGCTCAGAACTCTTGGCAGATACAATACGGGTCTCAGCTCCTATGAGAACATTGCTGCTGTCACTGGCATCCCTAGTATCTTTGGTAAACCCTTTTGAGTTCATTAATAGTTTCACAACCATTCTTTCCTTGCGTTCATTGTGTGCAATCTTTCTATTGTGTGTAACTTTTTCCTTGTCTGCAGCTTTTTCCTTGACTGCAAATTTTACCTTGACTGCAACTGTTCCTTTGGGTGCAACCTTTTTACTGCGTGAATTTTTGTCCTTGACTGCAACTTTGCCGTTGTCTGAAACCTCTCCCCTCCGTGCAACTTTTTCCTTGTGTGCAACCTTTTCCGGAGTAGAACCCTTGGGTATGCAAATGTTGCTGTTTTGTTGAATGGCAGGCTTTGCGTTGTCTTGTCCATGTTCATCTTCCCCGGGCAGATACACGTCTTTCAAGAAGCAGGATTCAAGAACGTTGCTCTGGTCAACCATTGACTTGGTTATAATGATCTGCATCAATCGGGAGAGAAAAGGAATATAAAATATAAAATCATAAAGTCTACAAACTTTGCCCCAAGCAAAGCATGGTTCAAGCATCAGGTTTAAATAAATTTTAGGTTACATTTTTTCATGGTTTAAAATGCCTCAATCACACCTTTGCGTATTTAGCTTGCGTGTTACTTCATATTTATGGCAAGCCCTTTTAACATTTATTCCTATTTCTTGATATCAAGAAATGCAATCTTGAGATCAAGAAATGATTTCCTATTGTAAAGCGATGGTAATTCTTGATAGGAATAAATGTTAAAACGGCTTCCCATAAATATGCAGCAATATGCAAGCCAAATATGCAAAGGTGTGACTGAGTCATAAGGGTAGCAATGGTGCTGGATCCAGGATTCAAGTCATGATGTCAATTAAAATTATATTTTATCACAAACCACCAGGCACCAGAGAATACCGGTATGTCAAACAATCATGTGACATTTATTCTTTTATTTCATGTTGGTATTAATTTGTTCCTTTGAATTGCCCGTTTTATAATCATTTCATTATTCTGAGATGCAGTGAGCCACTCGGTTGGCCCACCAGAGCTCTCAGTGAAAGTGTGCTGTTTCAGCACTTTTCGTAAAAAGCTTAGTGATGCTTTTCACATTTTGCAACATACATGAATATTAAAAAAAGAAAGAGAGAAGACTATTAAAATTGCCTAATCCCAAACTACATATAGGAGATCGAATGCTATTACACACTTATATATGCTAACATACTTTCCTTCTTTTATCCCACTTACTGGTATTAAAAATCATAGCCACTTGGTTCTTTTTTAGTTTTTTTAATATTTTTTGTTTGTTTCATGAATGGTGCTTCTCTAAAAAAAAAAAATTGACGGTGCTACCTGTCATGAATACTTCACAAGTTTGCTTAAAATAATACTTGTCAACTTTATTAAAACATTTGTTTCTTCTCTCAAATGATTCAAGATACTGAACAGCCAGAAACCTTCACACAATAAAAATGTTGTGGGTTTCAACTTTCAATCAACGAAATATGATTAGACCGCATGGCCGGCAATTCGCAAACTGGATTTACATGTACAGTGTACAAGCAAAATGATGTATCAGTTAGATAGAGGATAGATTGGGTATATCAGTACACAAAATAAGCAGAATATAGTATGAATGTGCACAAGACCATATTATGTTAATAAAGGAATTTAAACTTTGTTTGAGAAAAATGGAAGCTCTATTTGTATTTGCTGCAGTACCAACAAAAATTAATTGCAGAGATTATTATTGTTTTTACCAGAGCTTTGACAGCCCAATCGCTATTTTAAATCACTCCTGTTTTTATTTTTCTCATTGCAATAATAAAACTAAAAATGAATCCGGATTTTTGTAGCAATTTAAATAATGTCTACTACCTGTATATATTACCCCAGCCAGTGTAATCTATTAACCCCTTCAATAAAAAGGATGCACCTCCAATGTACATGTACATACTCCACTTCCTGGGGAGTAGCAATTTACTAGTCAAACTCCAAAACTATCTCACCTCGTTCCCTCTCCCTCCATTCTGCATCTTCTCTGCCTCCTCGTAACCATGGATATCCTCCCCATGCTGTTTGAGTGATGCAGCATGCGTGAAGGTCCAGCCACACAGAGGGCACATGTAGGGCACACGGTCACTCAGCAGAACCCGCAGCATAAGACCGTCCTTGTTGATGGTCACCACCACCTTGTCTTCCTGCGAATCCTTGACCGGACGTTCTGAGGAACTGCTCCGGTGGTGCTCATCGGTTGTGGGCTGATGACCACTTTTTAAACGACCGTCTTGGGTCTTCTCTGTTTGATGACCTTGCTCTTGGTCTTGGTCTTTCTTCACACATTCAAGACCGGATTTTCTACATCTATCTCCATCTTCTTTGGTTTTTCTTGTGGTTTCAGATGACTTTGATTGTGTCTGAGCCCGAGGTGGGGAAAGATCCATTACGTCTCATCAAGGACTGAGCCTCCAAGTCTGACTTTGATTCCTGCAATTAAAGGAGAGGGTCACATCAAATATCAGTCAAACTCAAAGAGATTTTTTGTTGTTGTAATCCTTGCACTAACTACCGTAGACTTAAATCAATTAATCAATCAACAAAATATTGGAAGAATGTGATCTACCCTACTCTAGCTAAATTATTAACTTAGATTCATTTGTGGCAAGTTACATTGGGACTTGGGAGTTGGGCGACTTCAGTCTTCACTAAACTCTTCACGACTTCAGCAATGTGTAGGAAGTTCAGCCCAGAATTCAGGAAGTTCATTACAAAAAGCTCTCGTTAAAACTATACCTCACAGTAACCAATGTAAATCAGATGGGGTATCACAACCCCACTTTCTTTTCTCTCGTTAAAACTTGGACAGAGCCTTGCAGCTCGAGATCTGCATGAGATGATGAGAGATTATGATATTGGATTGCAGCTGTACTCTTCACCATCTTACGTAATAAACAAACAAAAAAATATATTTTACTTGTTTTAAGATATTTTCATGTCCAAAAGTCACTTAGACTAGACTTCTAGAACTATAATTTAGATAAATGAAAGTTCGAACGAATTGGCGTTATACTCTAACAACAATTTTAACTGTGAAAATTAGCACTCTTTCTCTCTTTCTCTCTCCGTCTATCAACTATCGTGCTTATTCTCTCTCCCTTTCTATCACCCCTTCTATCACCCCGTCCGAGTCTTCGACATGTTGTACTTTGTAGACCCTCTACGCAAACAATCAAGAGAAATTTGGGCCGTAGCGTATTGACTCTTCAGAAAACAATATTATTTTAAGATAGGGAAGATGATTTTAATTGTCATAACAAACTCAAATTGGACAGAATGCCATAAATAATACTAATATACCCATAAAACTAAAATATATAGATCTAGACTCTATAGAAAATTGACAAATCATCTCATCCTGGCCTGATGATGGCCGGTGCAGTGGCTACGCAACGCAGTTGGGCCGGAGACCCCCGGGAGCGCCGCGGGCAAAATTTGGCCGACGCGACGCGACGCCATCGCCAGCTTGACAAGTCAAGGACTGCAACTGGGCTTCACTAGAAACACTGTTTCCCAACCCCTAATTTTCCTAAAATTCTTACTCACTCTTGTCAATAATGCAGGTTTTATTAGCATACACAATGGATAATTGGAGTCGACCGAGTGGCATAAACATCAACTCGAATCAAGGGAAGTATCTCTTCTAATCACACACAGGATGCACTAGGTATAGGCTACTTCAGTACTTGGGTACGTACCGACGTAAACAGGCGAAATGTATCTGTCGCCCTCTTGTGATAAGATGGAATAAAGGGGAAGTTCCCTTTCCGCCTTGTAATTTGGGGTCAGTTGGGCCGGAGGCGCATATATTTTTTTTACACAATTACTGTTTGGCCATTTTTTGCGAAAAAATTCCTCGAAGTGCTCTTGTGAAAGAGTCTATCAGCGCACACCGCTTACAATCACCAGAAGCAATATGGTGAAAGTGTAAGCACGTATACCCAGGGAAGTGAAGATAATAGAAAAGGGAAAACAAAGAAATACCTAAGTATAGAGTGGAGAGGATATGGAGAAGGAAAAACAGGGAAATCCATAAGGAAAGATCAAAGGAAAAACAAAGAAAGACATAACGAAAGAGAAGAGGATAGATTGAAGGAAAAACAAAGAAATACACGACGACAGAGTAGAGGATAGATTTAAGCTAGCTGACTGGCTCAGCCCGCCCCCCCCCCCCCCCCCCCCACTCCGGGGTCGGAATGACCCCATGCGTGTTACCAAAATGTTCGGTAAAGGGGTAATTTTCGTGCGACAAAGTCCGGCCCGAGAATTGTAAAAAAAAAAGGGGTGTATTAACTTTTCACCCGGAGATTTCTTTAAAAAGGGGGTGTTTTTTCTTTTTTTCTCTCATTTCTTTGGACTCCTGAGAAATTATTCCGAATTTAGGGGGGGGGGGTACATTGAGCAGTTTTCATGATTTAGGGAGGTCTCCAAGGCAGGAATAGCCCGCAAAAAGCCCGCGAAAGGGGGGTTCGGAAATGTTGGCAGTCCTCAGATAGGGGGTGCTTTCAAAAAGAGGGAACGAGCATATGCGTACCCTAGATAACACTGAGTGGGAGGGGGGGGGGGGGCCTGGCTCTTCAATCAATTCAATCAATCAACTAATTTGGAGTGAGGTCTAGGGGGCGGCGCCCCCAGAAGCTCGGGGTTTTAAGGCATCAAATTACGATCAGACGGATGAGCATCTAGGGGCTGCCTTAGGACCCTGGAAGGGTCCAGGGGGTAGAGCCCCTGGATCCCAGGGGAAAATAATGCCATTTTAGCAACATTCGTAAATTGCTGGTATCAAATTAGAAATAAACCATGTTTAATTTTATTGGGGGGGGGTTTACTGGTCTCCCCCCCCCCTATCAGTACGCCAGTGAAAGGGGAGGAGGTGACGGAAGTGACTATCCCCCATAGAGCTATATGATAAGTCTTATTATATAGCTCTATGCAACCCCCTTCACAGGTTTGTTGTATTACAAAATTATATTCTTTAGCAAAACTATAGTATAAAAACAAGCAATATACTTTTTCACACTTCAATTTTACTTTGCCGGTATCTAGTGTGCAGTCCGAAGGGTTGTAAATATTTATTAGGTACATTTTAGTCAGTAGGCAGGAAGGGACTTTTTACAAGAGCAAGCTAAATATTCATTTTTGTACCACAGATCTTATTCTATAACTCTTAGTCTTGTAAACATACAATGTAAACTGTGCTTACGTGATACAAACAGAATATATATTTTCTACAATATTTACTCGTACATTTTGAAGGATATTATAATGTGAGGGAGCGTAGCGACCGTGCGAGAAGATTTTTGCATTATTTTGTATTAGTCTAAACGGTGCATTCTTGGGCCCTTCAGATCCCCCTCGAAAAATTGAGGGGGATCGCCGCCCCTGACTCGCACATTTCGCTTTCAATTGTAGAACGCTCTAGCTGTGTCGAAGGGAATAAATCCTCGGAAGGTGGGGCATCTCGAAAAAGACATGAGGAAATATAATGTGTCGCGTAAAAAGCCAGGGAAGCACACAGACACAAAACCTGTATGGGTGCGATGTGACGTGTGTAGACGTTGGCTCCACCTACTTTGTGTTTTGCTCAAAAAAGTATCCACATAAAAGGACTACGTATGGCATTTTTGTGAAGTGACCAATCAGTAAACCTCCATTTTAGGCCACAGTCCATGGGCTAGTACCCACATTTTCACATATCGGTCCCTTTCTGGATTGCCCCCGCCCTCAACCCCCCCCCCCCCCCCCCAATGAAAAAATATTTTCAAATTGTTACATGTGTGCACAATGTGTCAACCTAACGAGAGTGGTGTTTTCATAATGAGTATTGATCTCCTTTAAATTTATATATGGAAGACTTTAGAAGACAACTGTTACAGTCCAGCTAAGAGTATGGGGCATGCTTCAAAGCATCTTCTAATCTGTTCTGACTAAATTGTAAAACGTTGTTCAAAGTTTGTATTCTTTGTTGAAAAACTTGCTTGCTGGCAAAAGTGTATGCATGTTTAAATTTTTGTTTACATGTCTAGTCCGGTTAATAATAGCACGTCATGATGTTATTATTCGACACGTTATTCACATTTTCCTATCGATAAGCGTGACGATTTGCTTTAGTATCATATAACAAATATAACAAGAGACAAGTATGGTTTTCCTGAAAATTACATTACAATGTATATTCATCGTTACGGAAAAAGTTGTATAACATACAACAATGGGCAAATATTATTGTTTCCAGACTAATGATTTAAGTGAGAAGAACTTCATTTAATATTGAAGCAGTTGCCGTTTGTATATGCATGAACTTGAAATAATAAGTAGCCTTGAAAGTGTCGCAATATATCATGTGTGAGTGAGCTTGAAGTTTAATGACGTAGATTTGTTTGAGACTATTAGCCTTTACTGAGATATATCTCCAATCCAATCAAATTTAGTGATGTTATCGAACAACCTAACAATATCAATTTACTATTCTCCTAAATAAACCTGGGACACTTGAAAATTGCATTACAATATAAATTCATCGTTAGTGAAAATGTAATACAATATACAACAATGGGCAAATAATTGTTTCCAGACCAATGATTTAAGTGAGAAGAACTTACATTTTATATTGAAACTGTTGAACTTGAAATAATAAATAGCCTTGAAAGAGTCGCAATATATCACGTGTGAGTGAGCTTGAAATTCAATGGTGTAGATTTGTTTGAGAATATATAGCCTTTACTGCTTGGGGTCCAGGGGCAAAGCCCCAACGGGGTCAAGGGGTGGACCCACTGAAGCTCAGGGTTTTAGGCCTTTAATTACGGTCAGAGAACCATATTTTGATACCTTATTTGTGACACTGTCAGGTCATTAATATTGTCGCGGGGTCAAGGAGCCCCCTAAAGCTCAGGGGTTTTACGCATTAAGGTAAGTAAAATGAGCATCCAGGAGCCCGGCTTATGGCCCTTAGTGGGGTCCAAGGACAGAGCCCCTGGAAGCTCGGGGGTTTTATGCATTTATTTACGGTCAGATAAGCATCCAGGCGCCCGCCTTAGGGTCTCTTGTAGGGCCCAAGGGGTGAAGCCCCCGCAAGCTCAGGGATTTTAAGTATTTAATCACGGTCAGAAGAGCATATTTTGATACCTCATATTTTGTGACACTGGCAGGTTCTCTTCAACATACTTTTTCGAAAAAGTGAGGGGCGGGGGGGGGGGGCTCGAGCCCCCGATCCGCGGGCCTTGACATGTAGGCGTCTAAATAAGCATATTTAGGGCTGACTGTAAATTTGGGGATTTTCCATAAACGCATACAACAGTATGATTTACAAAAAAAGAGAGAAAAACGTTTGAATCTTTTTTGGAGGCAACTGCCCCAAAGTTCCCATCAGTACGCCAGTGCGAGGGACGAGGGAGCGTTGTGAACGAGAGGGGCGAAGATAACGGCACTGACTACCCCTCACAGGTTTTCGAAGTTTTGTTGTATATATTACAAAAGTACTTTCCTTAGCAAAACTATATTAAAACCAAGCAATATACCTCTTTCACATTTCACTTTTACTTTGCTGGTAATTAGTGGGCAGTCCGAAGGGTTGTAGATATCAGTTTAGGAGGTATATTTTAGTATCAGTAGGGAGCTTGGGCATGGATGGGATTTCTATTTCCCACTCTAGACCTCTGTCATATACATATATATTGATATCGCCATGTGAGTTGAAATGGCAAATATCAGCCTGGTGGTGCATTACCTGACTGCTAAGAAAGCATAAATGCTTGTTTTGTTAGTAAGCAACCAGACGGACGACGGCTTTAGGTCCTCTCCGAGGGGCCTGGTAATGAGGATTAATGCCTTACCAATTAGGGCACTAGCGCCTTGACTTGGTTACGAACCCGGGTCACCGGATTACAAGACTACTGCTCTACCGATGTTAAATTATCAGCCTGGCAAATATATACACTTAATATGTTGTAGGTATTCCTTACTGTAAAAGAGCAAGCGGAATATTCATTTTTGTATAGCACTGATCTATTTCTCTTAATCTTGTAAATATACAGTGTAAACTTTGCTTACGTTATACTAATGGAATACAGATTTTCTACAATATTTACTTGTATGTTTTAACGAATACTATGCGAGGGATGCTAGCGAACGAGCGAGAAGATTTTTTTACATTTCTATTAGTCTAAACGCTGCACTCTTGGGCCCTCCAGAGCTTATAAGTGAGTTGCAGTCTTTAGTCAGTATTTGCTTTTCATTTTTTGCATTTTTTCAAATTTTCCGGCGGGGGGGGGGGGGGCGTATCCCCGTCCCCCTGGGATCGCCGCCCCTGCCTATAATTAATGTAGCTAATCACAGCCGCTGCTAGCTACACCCCGGAGTATGTACAGCTCCAGCAATCCAACATTACCAACAAGAGTAATGTTTGACTCTGACTGCAGTCAATCGCACAGTATACTTGACTGAACTGGCTAAACAGTTGTGTAAAAAAAAATATGCGCGGGCCGGGGTGTGAACTCTAAGGGCGATGGCCACCACGCCCCCCCCCCCTTCTGAAATGTCACATAATCAATTAGTTAATTTTGAAAACAGGTGCACGAAACGTGCCATTTCAAACAAAAAGATCCCTACAATGTAATAATTTGTGTTCCCTTGTCAGAAAAATAACAATGAACTTCGTCATGGGCTTCCAAGATTTTTT